TTATTCATACAATATCATCAATGTTTAATTGAGTATTTCAAATTGATGTATTGCTTTGTATCACAATATTTTGCATTATTTCATATTATCTGTTAATATTGGAATATTGAATTTACAGGTCGGATTTAATCGATAACCATAATTCAATAATGAAAGTAAATGAATTAAGTATAATATTTATCTCCCATTTTCATGTATTACTTTCTCGTATTATTTATTTATTTCAATTGTTGAGATCATGAGTCAATTGAATCTAGACCACCATGGAAAACTTAGAAGCACTGGACAGCTGCTACGTCCTATTGCGGGACTCCTCAGAAGTGCGCATCCCCGACCCGTGACCAGTGGAGTTCAACTGAGTCAGTTATGAGATAGTGACTCAATGACGACAATTGTGGATGTGTTGCTCAATTTCGTGGATTCGTTGAAGTTAGACACTAACAACGTTAGATGCCGGCTCAGTGGTCTAGTAGTTAAGTGCTCGCACGCGAAACCAGTAGGTCCTGGGTTCGAATCCCGCGATGTGGGATTGTGGATGCGCACTTGTGAGGAGTCCCACAGTGCGATGAAAAGGTCGTCCAGTGGTTCCAGGTTTTCCATGGTGGTCTAGCTTCAGTTGACTCATGGTTCCAACTATTGAAATTATCAATTATTTTAATATTTGATAATTAGTAGAAATAAATAGAAAAATTATGTAAACCGATAAGTTACAAAATGATTATAGTATATAACAAATTAAATAATAAAATGTCATTATTACCTAAAATAAACTGTTATATACCAATGAGAATAATGAGTGGTAACTGTTGGAATCTATTTATGATCTAATATTATACATATATCTTTATTGTATATTTATTGTTAAGTAACTAAACTATTCATATTTGTGTTCCTCTTATCATAAGCTTTATTTATACCTACGAACTTTTATTATACGGTTCACCATTCTTGAGTTCTGCCCAGTCTATCGATTACTATTTCCCACATTCACAGCCATATCTGGTTAAATCTTGTACAAATGTTATTTTCCGTTTTATGGTACGATGTGGTCTGTTTGGTTGGTATATAAACCCCATATGTTTGAAATACATGATTCATATTGCAGAGGCTGAGATTGGTGTTCTTAATTTAACAGGCAGGGCTAGGCAGGAAGCAGGACCGATAAAAACTCGAGACTGCTCGTACTTGTTTTACGCGTCATTGGTCCGGTCGATAAATCACTGTTCTTTAATTGGCGGTATCATTACTTTATATGTTGATAGGGACTCAAACCCATAAGTTATAACAGAAACCGAATCAAAAGTTCAGTTAGAAGATTTGTCGGTTTGTTTTCTAGAAATTGAATACACTTCAAATAATTCTATCCACTTGTTTGCATGTGTGTGTGTGTACGTAGATTATTCTCTGAAACACAATAATGTCTTTTCTTTTGAAGCCCTTTTTTTCTTATTTTGGACATTATGTTCAAATTATGAAATTCATAAAAATATAGTTGAACAGAGACAATATATTTTCAATGATACTTTCTTAATGGAAGGTTAACTTACTTTTAAATAAGACAATCCAACTTCAGTTTAAAACATTTATGATGATAATAAAATATACTCAATCGAACAAAGTAAGTATCATTAAATTAATATGATTTTCGAATGATCTTTTTGATGGTTTATTGTTTAAAGACACCAACAATATGAAATGTATCATGAATTATATTGAGAAGGTTATCCTAAACGTCTTGATATCTTTGTCACGGTGTGGTGTGTTTTACGTAGATCCACATAAGTAATATATAACAGTGGTTAGGCATAAAATGTATTTCAGCAGAAGATCGGTAAGGAAAGAACGGAAACGGGAACGCAATTGGTATGTTAATGCATGAACAATGAAATCTGAGATAATGAACTGATATTTGCAAACAAAACAGTCAAATTTAAGACTATGGATTGATATTTTGCAAATTAACTATTTACTATGTGATTCTCAGATTTGAGATGCTATGTGATTTCATGTCAGATACATTCGATTGTCTCCATTTATGTTCTTTAATAAATGACTAAATATATTAAGCTCTTGTTATTTCTATTTAAAGAGCTATTTTAATATTGGTTTTAAGTTCTATTCAACCAGTTTCTTATATCTTAATAAATTTATCCAAAAAATTTTTTATTATTTCTAAAATATTATTTTTTTCAGATTTATTTGGGATCGAGACGGATTTTTATCATGGTTACTTGGTCGAAGTTATGCTATTATAGAATGGACAATTAGTTCAATTGACGGTATATGTATTCCTGGTATTTATAGAATAAAACATTATGGTACATCTAAAAATATATTTGGTGAAAAAAAACAGTTTTCTGGTATAACAAATAATTTCACAGTATTATGTTTAACACAAAATAATAATGAAACTATAAATTGAATTAAATTAATTTTTAGTTTCATTTATTTATATATTCTGTTTTATGTTTTAATCTTTAATATTTTGATATTTCATTTATTAATGCTGCACAGTTTTGTTTCTTTAATATATATATTTTTTTTAAAATTCCTAAATATTCCCTTAAATAACTTTTATAAAATTGACAAAAGTACTTACTTACGCCTGTTACTTCCTGTAGAAGAGCATAGGCCGCACACCAGCACACTCCATCCAACCTTGTCCTAGGAAATCCTTTCCAATTGTTATTTCATATCTGGTTCGATTCCCCGACGTAATGTATTCTTTGGTAACAATATTTTACCTTACTTATTACAAATCAATCTATACACAATCAGTATTTATTTGATATTACCATTTCTGTCTCTTAAATGTATCATTTATTTATTTATTAAATTTGTTAATTAAATTATAGAAATTCTTTTTATTAATTTGTTTTAAATGATAAATTTTTTTTCGAATTTTTCAATGACCTTGAAGTTTCTTCAGTTTTCTTTTACATATATCAGTATTTATTGGTTTGATAACATTATCTAAATCTCCTTTTCTTCAGGTAAGACGAATTATAAAAAAAATTCTTTATAAATTTACATGATCATTGGTGATAAATAAATAAATTAGATGAAATTGATTTTGTTGTTGGATTTCAAAAAGACACTTTGTTTTAATTATTATTATTATTATTAAACAAGATTCATGTATTATTCATAAACAAAATGGGATTGATTAACTAGTTTTACATTTTGTGTGTTGTTTTATAAATGAACAAACAATTAAGTTTTTTGTTGTTGTTATTATGATTGATTTCATCAAACAAAATAAAATCATATTGTTCTAAATTATTGAATGTTTTATTCGTTAGGTTTTGTTTCAATTCTTAAGTAAATTGATGCAGAAAATGAATTACATTTATTGCAATAGTTTTTTTGGTCAATGGTATATTAGTTTGATTTACATAATCAGTGAGTAGAAAATAAAACTATGATTAATCTAAAATTCTAATTTTGCTAACTAGTTTTTAAATCAGATCAATCAAGTAAGGTCGCTGAGATCACAATATTAGAGGCCTGAAAGATTTTTCAATAAATAAAATGATTAGTATTAGTTGTATGTATATTCATTGCCGAAAAAAAGAGTAAAACTTTATACGAATCATAATTACAAGGACATAATAGAACTTCCCACAGGATACATATGTCAAAGATTAGTATTCACCTTATTTTGACTGAATTATTCGGACTGATATCTACCGGTAGACACCTTTGGCACGACATACCAGAGATGGAATTTTTCAACGGTCAACTAATTTAAGAAACCTATGTACTACAAATCGTTGATCTAAGTCGAACAGAAACCCAATGATTTAGCTAACCAAAGGCGTCAAAAGTTGAAATATCGATCTCCTGTTTCCTTATTGTAAACGTTCAAGCAGCCACGAGTCTTTATTTTAAAGCAATGTAATTGATTCTACGTTATACATATACGAATTACTGAACATCATTAAAAAGGGAACCTTGCATGATGTTCGACGTATTTTCAAGTTTACATCAATTTCAACTAGCTTTTTCGCTCCATTAATCAATTCATCTTGTAACTGCAAAATTTTCTGCTTATAGTATTGGACTGTTCTCAGTTACTTTTATTATTTTAAATTTAACGATAATGAATGATTTATTTTCCTTATTATTTGTCTCCCCTGTTTCAATTATCTGCTTTAATCAAAAAAACTTCTTGGTTTGTAGAAGATAGATATTATATATTACTTTGGTTGATACATCTATGTCTGTGGGAAGGGACACAAGCAGAAACAACTTAACACCTAGGATAAAAATATTGTGCTACTGAAAATTCTCACTCAGTCACATCATGATATGAGGAATGGTGGAGATATTTTTATCAAGAAAACCAGGAAAAATAGAGAAATTACACATAACAAAATGTGTACAACCGTCCGGTGAATATTCTTAAAAGTATAGTATCGGACTCATAAAACAATAAAATGTTAAGTTTCTCAGCATAAAGATCCCATAATTCTAGAGACAGTCAAATCACAACATCAATCAAGAAAATAACTGACTTGCTACTCTGAAGCATGCAAATAGTTGCAGTTTCCGACTTACTTTACAGAGAGTATTGTAAACTTTTAAATAAATATTTATAATATTCCAGTGAGTAGAAAAATTAGATTTTCTGATGTTTCGTGACTTAGTGTAAGCCACATCTTCGGAGATTAAATAACCAAATTAGAATTATTTATAACAATCTACTAGTCACTAGTGAGCATATGTTGATTAATATCAGATGGGTTTTGTGAAGATTGTAGTAATTTCAATGGTTAAGATCATGAGTCAGTTGAAGCTAGACCACCATGGAAAACCTGGAAGCACTGGACGGCCATTTCGTCCTATTTTGAGACTCCTCAGCAGTGCGCATCCACTGACTTCATGAGGTATTCCCTGAAGTTCGAGTGAGAAGTAATGACCAGTGGAGTTCAACCGAGTCTGTTGTGAGATAGTAACTCACCGAGATATTAAGTGGTTCATTAAAAAAAGGAAATAAATATTTGTTAAATAATTTTTTTTCAAATTAGACATAATTCTGTATACATGTACAATATAAGAACAAGAGATAAAAGAAAGCCACAACGATGATAACATTAATTCGAATTATATATATAGGTATATTGAACATACACATATATGTTAAATATTAAAAAAATTAAAATACACAAACATCAGTGTCAAATACAATCATTTTGCCGTTGTTAAATATAACACCTATGAGTAATTGTATAAAAGATATACGATGACAATTTATTATTTCCGTTAATTGCTTGTAATTAAAAGAGGAACGTGTGTGTGTGAGAGAGACACAAAGAGAGAGAGATAAATCCTGATATCATCATTACAATTAAAATGAATTGATTAATTAGAAAGAAATAAAAACTCGATGGTATATATTTCTTCACTTAAACATATTTTATTCAAAATTTATTTTGGAAGAAAAAGAAAACAAAAACGGAAAAGAAAAAATTATTGAGGAGGAATAAAAAAGGAGAAAAAAACACAAATTATTATTTAATTAATGTAAAATCATTTGAACTATCTAATCTTGAAGATAATGTTGAAATTGAATGTTTAGCATTTTTTAAACCGGATTTTTCTATAGTTCTACCAATTAATGAACCCCAAATTAATGTGAATAATATAATACCAAGTAATATTTCAAATAAACATTTTATAATTGATGTTAATCTATCAGTTGGATATATTAATATTAAGATAATTAATATAATTGTTATAAATATCGCCCATATTAAATGCAATAAACGACCATGTATACATTGATTTAAACCACGAGTTAATTGTTGATCTATATCTAATAATAAATCACGTAATCGATTTAATTCATTTGCTGACATTGTTTCACCCTCTATAGAATCAAAAAGGAGATGAATTAGTACTGTATTATATTTAAATATATTTAATAATTATTAATACAAAGTAGATTCATTTTGTCTGTAAACAAAAACAACTAGACAATAATATCGGATTATGGTTAGTAATTGAATTTATCATGTGAATTTCGCTTTCTTTAGGACTCGTCAGCCGGATCTATCCATAAGGGACCCAGTGTAGATCCTTAAATTGTTATTCCAACTCAGTAATTTGCGCCTCAAATGCTCGTGTTATTCATTCGGTTATAGGGTCTAGACAGCCACAAGGTTGTGTGAAAAAGAGTGAAACATGTGTCACTATCCACATTTAGTAAAAATGGGTATATTAGGCTAATTCGCTCAGGATTTACACATACCAATAAAGAATGTTCGATTGTAAATACTTAATACAGACAGGAAAGTATAAACCCTTGAGTGAATAACAAATAATATTCTACAACGATATTAGTTTTGTTCGCAGTCCTGTCCACAGGGTCGTTGATGCGCACTGCTGAGTAGTGCCATACTAGGATGGAATGGTCATCCAATGCTTCCAGGTTTTCAATAATGGTCTAACTTAAATCAGTTCATCATTTCAATGAAATCCAACAATGTCCACGACCCTATAATGAAACTCTGCTTTAGTTGTGATGGATTTTGAATTGGAATATAGTGCATTGACATGAATCGATTCATGAAATCTCCAAACGCCAGCAAAATGACACATATTTCATACATTTCTAAAAATCAACAACTAATGAATTGACGGACCGTTGTTATTACTATACCGACCTTAAATACTAAAGTTTACTCGACAACATGCTTTACTTATCAATTAAATGAAAGTCTACAGTTTTATTAAATCAACAATAGAATATATTTCAGTAGAAGATCGAGAAGGAAAGAAAGAGAACGGAAAGCAATTGTTATGAAAATGCAGAAATTGTGAAATCTGAGACGATGAACTGATGTTTGTAAAAAAAACCCAGTTAAGTTTGAGATAATAGATTGATATTTTGCAAATTAATGATTTACTATATGATTCACAGATTTTAGTGAGATATTCTTTAATTTTGTGTTCAAATACATTCGGTTGTTCTCACTGTGTGCTCTTGTTCGCTACAATGATACTTATTAGATTTTTCTAAACTATTTAATTATATGAATTATTTTTATTTTTATTCATTAATAAATATTTTAATTATTTAATAAATTCAATTTTAAAAGTACCTACGACAGTTGAGATCATGAGTCAATTGAAGCTAGACCACCATGGAACCTGGAAGCACTGGGAGACCATTTCGTCCTATTATGGGACTCCTCAGCAGTACGCACCCACAACCCCTCTTCGTGGGATTCGAACCCAGGACCAACCAGTCTCGCGCCAGGCCCTTAACGAACTAGACCACTGAGCCTGCCTCCAACGATCTTAATGTCTAACTTCAACTAATCCACAAAACTGAGCGACACATCTGTCATTGTCATCAGTGAGTTACTATCTTACAACAGACCCGGTTGAACACCACTGGTCGCTACTTCTCACTAGAACTCCAGGATATACCTAGCTTCAATTGACTCATGATCTCAACTGTTGAAATTACTACAATCTCCACAAAACCCTTTCTGATATTAAAAAGTGTCATTATTTTAACGATTTGTCATTTATTTTTTGTTGTTTATTTTGTTTTATTTTTAAAAAATTAGAAAAATGATATTGTTGAAGTACATTTTGTCACTGCTTCACCACGTAACAATGTACTTTTAAATGGAACATATCTTACTATTGAATTATATAACAGAACATTAAATAAATGGAATATTCTGTATACAGATGCTAATTGGGAAACAAAGTATGTAGTTCTTTTTATACGTTTTTTCCATCAAGCTAAGGGCGGCCAGACCAAAACGTGGCACAAATAAATGAAGTCACCGACAAGTGGACTGAGCCGTGTTGGTAGGTGTAGACTACCTGGTTGGGGATCCGCGAGACAATAACAACCGATGGTAAGAACCCTGAATGACATGGCTCAAAATTGTCTGCAATGGCGCAAGTGCATCTACTCTTTGTATTCTCCCAAATTCTAATCATCTGAATTCTTCATGTCCCTTTCTTTTTTTTCTTTCTAAATTTATTTCACTGGATTATACTCCTAGAGTAACATCTTCAAACCCTAATGTTTCCGATTACTGCTTATACTCTTATTATCTCTACCACTACAGTATTTCAATCGACCACTGCATCTGTGTGCTAATGTGGTATGGCAACTCGAACTGATGTACGTACGTACGAAGTTCTATGTTGTTACTCACTGACTGACTGAGCTTTCGTATAGACCAGTTTATTCGTTCTTGAATCAAATTTTGATGTTGTTAATTATTTACTTATTAACTTTGACTGTTTTTTTTGGGTGCATGTGTATGAATTGCTTACCGTACTCATCACATGTCTTCGGATTACTTTTGTCTGGCTATAAATATTAAGTCTCGCTTTATCAAAACGAGTTTGCTCACTCGCCTTTGCCGCTCCGCTTCTCTTTATCGCCTCCTATTCTGAATGTCCGTCTGGATAAACGAGAGCATGAAATAAATTCATCTAATCCAATCTGCATTTGGCTTCTTATTACTGCCGGATTAGCATGGATAATATACAGAGTTAAATGTAAGATTTATGCTCATAGCATATTCATACGTCTATCAACATTGGAATCAGATCAATGAGCTATCAAAGGCTTCCTGTCAATGAGCAGCCGTGACCTCAACAGTCACCAAACTCACGATCTTCAGATTTCGCAATGAACACTTAACCCTTAGAACTAATGGGCCGACGTCGATTCATGCACTTTTCCACTTCAAACAATTCGCAATTCAGTGCAACGATCATACATGGCAATAATGGCGAATATTTTACTCTAGCCTTGTCTGAATTCCGATCGTCACGAGCAACAAGTCAAAAATAGAATTATGTTGATAGAGCTGAATGTAAATATTATGATGAAATAGAACAAAGAAACGTCGCATATCAACAAATGAAAACATGGATTACTAAAATGTACAAGTGAAGTAAACAATTCAACCAGGATAATTTTCTTTCAGATAGGGAAGTTCACCTAAAATTTACAAAGAGTGTATTGAAAAACTGCAGGGGACTCGCCAGTAGTCTCTGTTATTTCAAGTCACTGAGTCCCATGGTTTCTATGAAACTAACCAAGAAATCGTGAAGAATTAGCAAATGTCGATAATATAAATTTATTTTTCATATAACAGTCATCACAAATCTGAATTACACGCGGTCCATTTAGTAGTCCCGCCACATGGCAGAAATTTAACGGATATAAAGAAAACTATATACATATGGCTCTCTTAAACTATCTACAATTGAGGATTATTAAAGTGTCACTAGAAAAACAGACCTATGCTATACTTTATATTCTTTTTAACAGCGTCTGAATTACATACATCAGAAAAACTAACGCATATCTAGTGCGTATTTGATTAAATTTCACTGGGCAATCAGCATCAGCCAAAGTGACTGCTTACTATATATTTCTAAAAGTCAAATCGAACACTAATATGAATAACTTTTTTAAATCTTGTGCAAAATGGATGGCAAGCACTAGAAGAATGTTTTCAATTTTAATTAACTTAAATGGCTATTGTTATTAAAAGTGGGTTTGTAGAGATTGGCTGAGTTTGCAAGCTGTATTCGTCAAAGGTTGATCTCAATTTAAGTACTGCTAAAAATCATGAAGTACTAGACAACTATTTCATCCCAGTATAGAACTCAGTAGTGCATGTCCACGACACCATCAGAAATCAAACCCATATTCTTCAAGTCTAGTGGTGAACATTCGACTAACCGCTAGCTTGACGTCCAATGGTACAATACCAACTTCAATCACATTGAGATAAAACGCAACGAACATCCAAGACCATTAGTGACAACTGATTAACTTCCGATATGTTTGAACTCCAGCAGTCACAACATACTAGAAATCCATGAATATCATGATCTTAGTGAGCTGAATATTATAGTTTAGTTGATGGGATATTGTGCACATTGATTCAATTCACACAACGAATTTACCAATACAATCTACGGACAATCATGATGATTGTAATTCTAAACACATAACTACATGATAAGAATAAATACAGATAATCAAGTAGAAACATATACCTGGTTTGACAGGATTGCGTAATCTTGTAATAGTAAAGCTTGCAGCTACACCTTCATGATCGGAATAATGTAAACCATATGGGTCGTCAGGTACTTTACGCATATCTAACCAACACGAATCACAGACAAGTTTAGCATAGGCTATAGTAAAACAGAAATTAAGTAGAAAGACAATTCATAAAATATTTCAACTTTTTTATTAATGATGATTAGAAAAAATAAAGTAAATATTTTATTACTACGATATATAATTGTTCAAGAAATGTATAAACATATACAATACTGTTTGTTCTAATATAAATGAATATTCATATATACAATAAAAACACACATTTTATCATAAAGTTATTGAAGTGATACAAAACAATTAAACATTAGACTTATTTCATATTATAGGATCAGAGGTAGTTAACAGTAAACTGTGAACATGGATACTATGCTGTTTGAGACTCATTATGAAGGCGTACCTGCAATCTTGTGGCAAATGATGCATTATGTTAGATTCAAATCAGTGTCACTCACTTTCACAGTTCAAAACGTGATCACTGAGTTACACATATAAAAAGAATTTTCAAAATGTATATTCCTTTTTGTAACACTAATCCACTAGATATTTTAAAGCTTTATTATAATATAATTTATCCAAATGTTACTGATATCAAATCAATAATAAAAGTGTAAAAATTCTAGAGTAACATACAGATTAACATGACTCAATATATTGTAGTAAGCCCATTCAATTACTGCATTATTTATCTAGCCATTGGAATTTAAACACTTAATCCATAATGTAATTTTCTGTGTGATTCTGATTGAGCACATAGCTGCACATCAATTTCTAACCTATTCTCTGATTGGTTGTAATACACAGACAATCAATAATTTATCCATAATCGATTAACACTCATAAATATGAATGGATTTTTAACACACAAACACATTCTTGGTTTCCCTGTGTGCTTGCTTCCTATACGTTTGCGGATTTTACCAATCTTTAACAATAAACTATCTCTATAACTGGTGTTCAGGCATTTGAATAATCTCGAGTAAATCCATAATTCTACTAAGAGATTAAGCCTGCATTAAATACTCAGTTAACGGGATACTATTTACTGGAGTCAGATATAGGGGAAATTAACATCTACAACAGTAACTAAATGTAAATATAAATGAAAAATGTGTTATTTTTTTGTTTTCTGATAAATAAAAGTTCAGTTCGTACTGTATTTGTTTGTTTCGATTTCCTTTTTCTCCCCGAAATTGTTTATTTCATAAAGTGAAATTATTTAAATAATTAAATTCATTTTTTAATTAATCCATATTATTTAGACAGATTATATATGTATAAATATATCACTTTTTCATTCTATTTGTGTGTGGGCTGTGGTACTGCCCGGGTGCCCATACCGAAGTAGGTGGTTTTCTTGGTGAGTCACACTCGGAGCCCTCGATCTAAAGGTTTGACCCACAAGACAGTGGAGCAACATAAAGAGATGCAGTCCCTTGGTAGTCGGTGACCAATAATTGGTTCATACGCCATTTGTTCCTTCAGGATACTGGAGCCAATGTGCACCATTGGTTTAGAATCAGGGTTTTCCAACTCTCCTAGGTGGGCCCTCCATATCCACCAACCCGGTTAAAGCGTTGACCATTCGCTTTTCGTCTTCTCAATTTTGCAAACAATACCCCCGTCACGAGAAGGCAGTGAATAGGACTTCCCTGACAGAGGCTGTATACGTGTGGCCGTGTGATAGCATTTCGAGAGGGAGTGAGGGCCCTCCCCAATCCCGGACATACCAGGACATTTGGGAGCATATATACCTGGTGCCCCCTTGTACCAATATTTGTGTTCAAATAAAAAACAAATAAATATATCACTAAGTAACACCGTAGATTTAAAAAAAACCCTGATATATTGAATAATCAATTAGAAAAAGAAGGTAGAATTTATCAGTGATAACTTTTGAAAAATTTCATAGTTTCAGTTTTACAATAATCTTTTATTTTGAACTTAAACATTATGAATATTTTTTATGCTTAACTGATTTTTAATCTCATAGTTACCAATTTAAAAAATGTAATATACATTCTAAATCTATTTTAAGCCGATTTGTCTTTAGAGGATAAAGTATTTTATAAAAGAATTAAGCATATCTTATAATTCTTATCCGTTTATGCAATTGACATTCTTCGGACTATATAATAGTATAAGAGATAGTATTTTTAATAGTTGAGATCATGTATCAATTGAAGCTAGACCATCATGGAAAATCTGAAAGCAATGGACGGCCGTTTCGTCCTATTGTGCGACTACACAGCAGTGTGCGTCCACGATCCACGATCTCACAAGATGGGATAGTGGAAGCACAATGCTGAGAAATCCAACAACAGGACAAAACGACTGTCCAGTGCTTCCAGGTTTTCCATGGTGGTCTAGCTTCAATTGACTCATGAACTCAACTATTAAGATTACTATAATATCCACAAAACCCCTTCTGATATTAAAATATTTTTGTTTAGAAAGCAAGCAAAAAAACAACTTTCTTAAAATGTGTAATTCACAAATAGATAATTGAAAGTTGTCTATTATATATAGATTTGTTTTACAACTAAAATATTAGCAGAAATGATCAATTGTGTAGCAATCTCTTTATTCTCAAACTAACATCAAATGGAGAAGTGTTGGAAAATTTAAGGGAGGGATTGTAATTGTGGACTGACGAGAGGTTTCAGATGATACATGAAAAATTTCGATAGTGTAATAAGAAGACGAAGATTATCAGAATTATGTGATATATTAGTGCAATATGTAGCGTCGACCGTTCGATTACTAACCAATCAGTATATTCGGAATCGTCAAACAAAAAGTATTCAATTGTTAGAAAAATAATATCCTAACATCAATAGTTCACCCTAAATGAAATTAGTCGGTGATGAAATATCATACTTACACTATACACTTAATACAATCATTTATAATCAATATTGGGCATGACACAAATGTACATTACCACGAGTTCTAATACCAAATTAATATAATGAAACAAAATTAACAAAATGAATAAAAAAGCAGTCCAAATAATAGTAATATTAATGACTAAAATAGGACAATACACATCAAAAAAAGAGACGATACGCATAACGTAATATTGAAACTCAAGATCTAGAAGACAATTAAGAGTGTCACTGTGACCGATTCTAGGTCATGTTTCATTACTGACCATAATCATTTTCTTGAACATTAAGTCAGGTAGTTTTCAGTTACTAACATGGATAATTCCAATAGTTTATAACTTCTTACACTGATATCATAACGGTAATTACGTCCATGTTAAATCTAACAAACTAAAATTCTCAGTATAAGATTGCAGAGATTGTTGAGTTTTTAATTTGGATCATGAACTGATCAATGTTAGACCACAATGTCTATTGTGAGACAGTTACTCACTGAACACAATGGTGGACGGCTGCACAATATCGTGGATTAGTTGAAGTTAGACATTAACACCGTTGGATGCCGGCTCAGTGGTGCAGAAATTAAGCGTTCGCGCGCGAAATCAAAGGTACTGGGTTTGAGTGAAGCGTGAGGGATCGCAGATGAGCACTACTGAGGTGTCCCACACTACGATGAAACGACCACCTAGTGTTTCTAGATTTTCAATGGTGGTCTAACATTCATCAGTTCATGATCTCAATTAAAAACTGAAATTCATATTACCTACACTACTATTTCTTTTTATTGAAATACACACCTAAAAACTACTTACGTAGGTAGCATCTAAATGAGATTTATAAAATGTATTCATACTCATATATACATATGAATATGTATAGAGATTATGAAAAATTAATTTACAGATTTAGAACCATAAAAAATCAGCGTAACATATTTTTCTTCCAAAAAAAGAATTCATATAATTATCTTCATTTGAATAATAATAGTGTTGTATTTGATTTTGGTTATTTCATCCCACATGTCAAATTGTTTTAAATATATAATCTATTTTTCTACGTAAATACTATTTTTAAGGATATCCGAAAATAGTAATTACGCATGTATTAGGTTAATTGTGATTTCTTCATTTTTTTGCTTACTTATTCTATTTAAATATACTCCAACATCAGTGACAAGTACGCACATACCCACATGAATACTCACAGCTCTGATGAATCATACCTGTATGGTTATAATGAAGAGAGAAATATATATAAAAAACCATTGTTTGCAAATATCTATTAGCGAACATCTTAACTACTGTAGTGAACGAGAACATGAGTGGGGATAATCGAATGCATTTTAATGCATTATAGAATATCAAAGTAAAATCTGTAAACCATACAATAAATACTTCATTTGCAAAGTGTTCATTAATTGTCTTAGATTTCGGTATCCCTTCATTTTCACATCAATTGCTTCCTGTCCCCGTTTTTTTCCTCCTCGATCTTCTACAGCCAGACATTCTATTCCTGGCTAGCTTAAAATACTACTAATGTCGATATAAGTAGCACACACTACTGTTAATTGCATTACTTTAATGTTTTTAAAATTTACGAATGAGTTTGCTCATGACAAATTAATGTGAATTGAAAATAGTTAGGGAAAAAAGTGGACAAATGTTGTTATGTTAAATTTTTCAACTTCAAAAGACTTTAACATTCTATATGTTGGGATATTCAGGAAAATATCCCAAAAATTATTCTATTAACTCTAATGCTATTCTTGGACTTGGAGATGGTATTATTTTCTTATTGGTCAGTACCTATTTCACGTATCATTTTCCTACTGGTCAATATTGTACAATGTTATTTTCTATTTTATGGTACGATGTGGTCTGCTTGATTAGTATATAAACAGTGTTTGAAATATAATGATTCATATCTCCGAGGCTGTGACTTGTGTTCTGGACTCAACTGGCTGGGCTAGGCAGGGAAGTGGGACCAATCAGAACCCTAGGCCGTTCTACGTGTTTATGCGTCTTTGGTCCGATCAATAATTCGCTGTCCTCTAATCTGCCGTCACAGCTATAGAACTATATCAGTCATAAACACTATAGAACCTGTTCTGGTTGAAGTTGCCACACTATATGAATTATCAAAATAAATGTCACAATAATGGAAATAGTAACAGTAACAGTGGTGACAGAAAAGATAAGACATAAACAGTAAGATTTAAGAATGAGAAATTGAAAATTAAGGTAATTTCAGAGCTTGAAATCTAAGAGAAGATAGAGAGTGAATTTGTACCATTTCACCTAACATTTTCAACCATTAGACTAGATAGTCTAGTGGACCACATATAGGGAATCTGTACCTACCAACACAAATAACAAACTGATACCATGTCGTGGTTTTGGTGTCCCTAGATTTCTTCCAGTCTACTCTGACATCAGTAAACGTCGCACGTCGAGGTAAACCATGGTTAGGCATAAGTAATACAACATTCATTCTACCTCACTTGATGGAGTTTAACAAACTTAACCGATTTTTTATTTTCCCTGAATTCGGCCTACATAGAAGAAAGGCATGATTGTTAACGAAATTTTCAAGGAAAATACCTCACAAATATCACTAAACCTATTCACATTTCCAACTTTAGTTAAATCTAAACATAAAAAGTGACAATTATTCAACTGCTTCACCTTCCAACTTGTTCAATGTTAACAATAATATTGTAGTCCGACTGGTATTATTAAAACTCCAATGGAAAGCTAGTGATTAGTAAATATCTAAGATGTTTTCAGTTGCACACAAATAAATTATTCTGGTAAACAAGAGGGCAGTTCTAAATACCGAAACCGATTCATAAGGAACTTAGTATTGTGACGATATTAAGATGATAAAGAAGCTGGTGAAGACCGTGGTGTAAATGAGTAGTATGTAGATTGCCTGCTAGTTGATCTTTCATTCTTTATGCCAGATTTACAAAAAAGATATATCATATAACTAGATCTCTCAAAATATATTGATTTATTGTAACAAAAAAGACATTCTAAACTCTGAAGTTATTGTACAATCACAAGTGTTCATACAGTGACATTTTGGTTATGAATGCTGTCCATCAAGTTACAATGTGGTTACTAGTCTGAGTAGCTCGATATTGTATGCACTATGATGAGCTTTAAGATCATAGGCACGCCTTCCTGAAAAGTGCTAAATAGCATTAAACTTCGCTCCAAGTTTTCTAATCGACCACCTTACATTTTAAGATAGAATATTCTAGATTAGAAAGGTTTATCCTACTTTCATGAAGAATGTAGTGTAAAACAAAAAGAAAATTGAGGTTATTTTCTTTTTTTTACCTAGATACTAATGAACGACATAATCTCTATGATCTCAACTAAGGAAGTTCTTACGGACCAATTTAATACTGATCGCATAAAACTGTTTCGTTCCATACAGTGAACAACTACTTACTTTTAATACCTATTAGTATTGGCAAATAATGCAGAGTGAAGAGGTCTATGAGACGGTGTGTTCGTAAGTCAGTTTCATCCGAAAAAAAAACGATGGTAATGATGATGGAACCAAGTGACCAATTAATCAACATTATTTAAAGGGATATAAAACCAAAAAAGGATAAATCAATCCAATAACAATAATATCATCACCATCATTATCTTACATGGTATATGAAATGAATCTATTATTGATGGCCCAGAACGATAAAATATGTAATCTAATCTTTCACCATTCCCATACGTATTTGTCCAAAGTTGATTACGATAAGGATTATCAGCTCGATCACACGTACATCCCTCTGACTCTAATTCTGTAATATTTGTATTCTTCAAAGCAACAGTCTATATATATGCACATATTTTTTATTTTATGGAGGAAAAAGAATGGAAAACATAAGAAAAATCAGTAATTTTAATTTTTTGGGAAAAAACATAGTCACTATTATTTTTTAAATGACACATCAGCCAGACTGGCTCATCTGTGGTTATTGTATGAGGACTTCAGTCTTCGATTATAGACTCAGAAGACCTGTCAGATAGAATTATATCTAGTTTCAAGATCCTAGCTAGTGTCGCAGTCAGACTAACAACTTAAACCGGAAGCTTTGAAGTTAATCTACCTGGTCCTTTCCGAATTCGTTGAGTCGATAGGCTTACCTAAATTTCTCATTCAGATTGTTTAGAAAGTGGTTAACCACATAGTAGTTGAAGTTAGCTGAGCTGTTTTTTTGGAAAGTTTCACCCATCGTCCCAATTTTCCAGCGTGACAGTGGACCAAAGTATATGCTTCTACTGAGATCGTTGCATTAACAACTGACTCTATAACACCTGTGTCCTGATACATCTGATCAGTTACCAACTATTATCTATTCAATCAGCCTGTCCCATTTCTTTTGTTTTTGTCACCAACAACTCAAAATCATATCACTGCTGTTTTCATAGCTGTTTTGATATTTTACCGAGCTTAACATTATTCTAGAACAAACGTCTCTCTATTTGTTTTTGAAAAACACTCTTGATCTTCACATAATCAAGATGAACAATAGAGTCTTTCGGTAAGACGCATACTCACACCACAACACGATCCGAGTCTAAATATAAGCTCCAGAACAAGCGTGTTCTCCTACTGAGCTCCTCAAACGATAGTTGATGTAAACATGGATTATTCGTGTCAATTCTATGGTTAATCATGTTAAATATTTCTATTTTTGACAATGATTTTGTTAGAAACAAATTATTACCTGAGAATAGTTTCAACATGCCCTTCTTTTTATCTGTTCGGTGATCCGGGACACTGAAAGGCAGATCTATTTATTTTCTAGCTTCATTTACCCTAACCAATTGACCATCATAATAATCTCCTACGATTACTGTCTGAGGATTTAAGTTTTTTAAAACGGATGTAAAGCTTCTTATAAATTTCATTTCTTACTTTTGTCAAAAGGGAGTGAGTGAGAGGGTATACTGAGATGAAGGTTAACAATGTGTATCTTAAACTGTTCAAGTTTTTAAAGGTTCTGTTGATCTGAAAAGCACACAAGCGACTGTCTAATGAAATATATCCCAGAAGCGACTGTTGTACTACGAGGCTTAGTACTGCATTTACGTTAACCAGAGCACGATAAGTAGGGATGATGTCTCCAGATGTACGAAGGGTAAGTCGTCTTCGTCCATAATTGATTAGGTGAGGTCAATTGCAAGTTTCGGAGAGTTATATATATATATATATATATATATATATATATATATATATATATATTAATGCCACAATATTCTAGAGTCCTAACTAGTAAACTACTAAGCTGTAACATTCACTAATACATATAGTGACATATACAGCTGACAAATAACCAACAGTGAATAATGTAGCTAATTTGCCAAGTAAGTCTTTCTTTCTCATCAGTACATTTGTAGAAACTATTTATGCCACTCAACAGCCTAAAATGAAATATAGCAAGATTTGAATCTATCAATAAAATATCAAATGATTTTAACCTTTTAAACTATTGTTTCATTAAAATATAATCAACAATATACATAACAAGAAAAACTTTCCACATTTTAAAAACTGTCATTATTAGCATAAAATAGTATATAATAATGTACAGACCATAATAAATAGAAATTACTATACTACTTCTAATGGATATTCAATGTAATAATATAATCAGCTGATAATAGATCAATAGTAATTCTTTTTTCAAATATCATATTTATCACACGAGTTAACCACATGAATATTATAAAATAACTACTCCCATTACATGATACTATGATAATGATGACGATATCTGATTACATCTTGTTTTTTATGAACTAAAATTATATAAGATTATATGCAAACATGAAAATATGTACATTTAATTGTAATTTTTACTTAGAAAGATCTTCCATACACGTATCCCTATTATATATATATATATATATATATATATATATATATATATATATATATATATATATGAAAATGTGGGCCCCGCTTATTCTCCAACAATTTAAGATGTGGTTGATTGGGAAATAGTTTCCAATGCAAAATAATATCATTCGTAGAAGACTAGCGACAGTCAAAGAACTACATAATTGGACGTGTTTTAAACAATTTTTCCTCTTTTCTCATACGTCAGTTTTAGATAAAAATTATCAACTTGTGAAAAAAATTTAATATATCAGTGAAGATGAGTCTTGAAGATAATAACTTCATTCATAATCTCAAATGGAGTTAAGCTTAAAATGATACTTACCATTAGCTAAGTTATAAAGTTATTATTAAATGTATGATCACATGTTTAATGATCCAGACAGTACCAAAATTTCGCATTGGTGAAGGGTTTTAACCATGATTAGGATACTGAAAATTCACCGGTTGATTTTAGCCGATAAAGAAAATGCTCTTAAAGCACTTCCTTTATATTAAAACATAACCAGAGAGTACTGGGTAGCTGTTTTGTGCTAGCATGAAACTCAGAAGTGAACATCGGTGACCCCAACACGGTTCGAACCCGGGTCCTTCAGGTCTTCCAGTGAATGTATAATGGACTACATTCAGAGCAGCAATTATAAAGTAATTGAAACTTAAATTTTAACTAGGTTACTGGTTCGAACCCAAGTAGTACTAGTTCTCAAATAAAAATATATAGCCTAATATAATGGTTTAATACACGAAACTGCAATCGACTATCAAGTCTTAGAAAAAAATTATAGTAATTACTTAAAAACTAGTGTAATGAGAAGGTATTTCATACTATAGTGATAGACAACCGTAGAATAAATTATAACAATAGAACGTTCTGAGCTATCACGTTTATTAAACAATACGAAAAGACAAGGAAATGGAAAAATGAAAATAAATATGGGGCAAATCAGTAACAGAATAACAAAATGATTGAGAATTAATTATTTAAGTCATACTATTTTTATAACAGATAGTGATATTAAACGGCTGTTCCAGCCAAATTAGATATGGAGCGTTAGAGCTTATAACTTACAATTTGAAAACTAATTATCTTAACTAATAATCCGTTGCTTAATAGTGAATGAATCTAAATAATAATGGTTCAGTCAGTCAGCTACAACGTAGGACCAGGCACATATATGCATCGGTTCAAGTTCCCATACCTAATTAACACACCAAGATGAACACAAAAGTCATAGAAGTAGTTAATTCAGTGGTGGTAAGATATAAAAGAAAGACTGCATATAAGGACATAGTCCGGGAAGACAGAATTAGTTCGTAGAGAGAAAGATATGAAGCGTTTTAATCTTATACTTTAAAGAAAGACAAAGAGTGTATACACCAACGCCATTGTGATCGATTCTGAGCCGTGTCACCCAGAGTCTCCTACCATTGTTTACGACTGTCACATGGACCCCGACCAAATAGTCTGCATCTACCAACATGGCTCAAACTAGAAGTTATTGACTTCAAGCACTGATGCCACGTTTTGGTTTGGCAGCCCCTAACTTTCTTCCAAATATCCCAAACACTAATCAGGATTGCGTGTCGTGGTAATCGGTGTTCAGGCATACGTAACAGGTGGCCCAACCATCTCGGTCGATGAAGATTAACAACCTCATCAACTGCTTACGAGTATTTTCTACCCTTAATGGCCATGTCTCGAAGCCGTAAAGTAGAATAGAACAAACTGCTGCACAATATACTCGTCCCTTAATTGATAGGCGGATATCTCGCATTCGCAATAGGTCACGTAAGTTTGCAAGAGCCAAACGAACTTTTCGAATCCGTGTTGAGATTTCGTCGGACACCAAAACTTCCGAGATGAGTGAAGTTGTCTACGCAGCATACATAAATAGTACCACTTTCCAGAGTCTCAGCCAAGTGGGTCTGCTGACCGATTTGACATAGGGCGCATACGTTGAAGGCTCTAATGATCAGTTTGGAGCGAGGTTTCAGTACACTTGAGACAGTGTTTTGACCACAAGAATCGTTGACCATGGTGACACTTAGGGAAGAAGCCAAGAGCGGAAGCTTATTGTTTAAGGTCGATGTAGGAGGAAAAATAGAAATGGAGAAGGGAGGTTGATTATGAATACAGTGGTCTTGAGTGCTGTTAGAGGTATGTGCGCGGTTATCACTTCTCGGTTAACTACACTGTGGAAGGTCTCTTCTGGAGGTACCTGAAAAGGAAATTGGATTAGATGTGGCCTTAGTGACCTGAGAGCATGACCGCAGTATCCAAGGGACAACTGCTTGAGGTCGGTCACAAACGATCTTTTTGTCTTACCGTTCTTCAATCGACCTATCTGACATGATAGGACCTTGAGGAACGATTGGTTCATCAAGATAGGCGAGCCCGACCACTACGTCAAGATAGTAACAACGGTCGGGAATCATGATGGTTAATTTGTAAACTATATCATGTGGTGTTGCTCATCACGCTATGATGATTATATTCAGATAGCTCACAATTTCCGAAAATACATATGCCTTAAAAAATTTACTACGTATCATTTGTCTTAAAAGTTTGATGATATCTTAGGGACAATAACTGGAGTCACAAAACATTTTAACAATAAAAAATAACTTAATAATGTGTAGCATATCGAAACATAATTCAGTTTACTTCCATATTGATCAAATATATTTCTAACTGTTAATTGATAATATAAATGGTTGAAGTTAGACATTAACACCGTTGGTTGCTGGTTCAGTAGTTTAGGGGTTAAGTGTTTGCGCACGAAACCGTGGATACGCACTGCTGAGTCCCATACCAAGACGAAACAGCCGTCCAGTGCTTCTACGTTTCTATTGGTGATCTAAAATTGATCGATTCATGATCTCAATAAAAAAACTCAACAATCTCTACAACCCCATATTGATAATGTGAATGTACTTTATTTTACTACAAAATCATTATCTAATTCTTTTCTTTCCTTCATGTTCATGCATCAATTTACTTTACACTTTTATAAATGAAACCTATACATATTGCTCTAAATACTAACATATAACAATAATATACAACAGATAAAATTACTAACAACTGGACATACCTATGATGTTATTTTATGTAACTCAACTATTGGTTTACAGTAAATTTACTACAAAAATGTGCTATAAAAAAAGGTTGAACAGCTGTAACTTTATAAACATTTAAAATATAATATTTAACACATCTAGTATAAATGTTAATTAAGTTGATTAATTTTTTCCACTTATATTTACTTTAATTAATTTAATGGATTATTTAAATTTAGTCATAATCATAAACTAACAGTAGTTCAAGAACTGTTAGAGACTAGAGAAAACTGGACAACTGTTTTGTTCGACGTTTAGAATTTCTTAGTAATATCCACTTAAAAATTTATAATCTTGGTTAGACAGCAAGTGCAATACTTTAAAATCACTTAATCGAAATGAAATTATCTACATTTTAATTTCAATCGATTCGTCAGTAAATGACTTATTCATAAATAAGTTAGCACCATGAATCCCGACATTCAACTGATAGTTCAAAAAATCTGTCTTAAAGTTAATCGCTATTAAGAACAATAACTAGGAGGTTTTCGTAATTACCAAGTAATGAAACATGTGAAAATATTTTTTGAAGAAAAAAGACAGCATATATAGTTTCCAAACTTACATTATTAAGCCATGCATCAGATAATTTTAATGAAGTACTAAACAATTCAATAGCTGAAGTATTCGATTCCAAATTGAAATCTCCAGTAATTATAATTGCATCAGAACCAGTGGATGTCATGCGAACAAATTCCATTATTTCAACCAATTGAGATATTCGATGTCCATTATATTTATCTAACATACGATCTAATTCATAACGAGCAATTAACTTGAATGGAAACAGAAAAAATAACATTTCGAAAAAAAAGAAAATTGAGCAACTGAATATGAGTATATATATGTATACAACCAAGTCGAAATTATCATGGGATCATTGATTAGTTAATTTGCAAGAAAATAGTATTTGAATTAAAAGGCTTGAGTACAAATTCTAAAGAAATACTATGATTGATCACATTCTTCTATTTACAAATTTATTAGTTCAAGTAGTTACCATTATTAATAAGTGGTTACTAACTTTTATACATGACTTAACAATGTCGATAAATCAAAGATGTGAATATTTCAAGTCAGATAATTGCGATAGGCTATTCAAATAAAAGAATGGTATAGGCTAGTACTATGTGAAGTCCACATAGGTTATTCACTTATCTGGACTGTTTTTTATATGGTCACATGTGTGCTAATTACTTACCTTACTTATCACATGTCTTATTTTTGGTCTGACTATAAATATCGATTCACATATGTCTAAATGGAGTTGGATCACTCGCCTTTTCCACCTGGTGTCATTTCGTTTTGCTTCGCCTTCCGATCAACGATTGTACGAAATATGCGTATTCAAAAATTCATTCCCGTATTTTATTTATTTATTTATTTGGACACATGAATATTGGTACAAGAGAGCGCCAATATATACGCGCCACACAAAACAATGAAAATTCGAGAGGAATACAAAGAAAGAAAAAAAAGCTAAGGAGCGCAACAAAAAAGAGAGAACAATAACGAAGAGATTGGTGTAATGTAATGTGCTAGTAATCAGGGAACGCAAAGGTACAATCGGAAGAAATCTTTCAGGTAAGGGAGACAGAACCACTTTGTATGAAGAAAGTAAAAGGTTACAGCAGGATGGCCACGCTTCTATTCTGAGCCATATCTGATAACGTCTCTAGCCACTGTGTAGCACCATCTCTCAGACCCCAACCAGGGAGTCGTGAAGGTCCAACACAAGCCAGTACTTTGCAGCTTTCTTTCATGCCACGACACCATGTCATGCACTGACCACCTCTCCGCTTCTTCCAACCAGTTCCAGAGTCGGCAAATAATGCACGACGTGGAATTCTCTGGGACGACATTCGGAGAACATGTCCAAGCCACCGAAGTCGGTGTTTCAAGATGGTAAAACCAATTGCATTATCATCTCTGTGCCCGAACACACGATGCCGAACCTCTGCATTACTGACATGGTGTTGCCACTGAATGTCAGCAATCCTTCGGAGACAGCGATGATCGAACACAGAGAGTCGTCTAACGTCCTTAACTGGGAAAGGCCAGATTTCACAAGCATAGAGCAAAACTGCTCTCACCGACGCGTTGTAGATCCGACCTTTTATAGCCAGACTAACATCACGAAGGCGCCGAAGATGGCCCAGATTGGCATAGGCCACTCTGGCTTTCACTATACGTGCATTGATCTCATCACTCACACCCCCACCAGCACTTATGCAGCTACCCAGATACACGAACTTCTCGACTACGTCTATCTGCTCACCATCCAGGGTGAGTACAGGATTGGAATCCTGCCAGTCTTGTAGGAGTACTTTGCACTTCGAAGGTGCAAAGCACATACCATACCTACGGACACTGATTGTCAACTGATTAAGTGCGGATTGCATGCCTTGGGCATTATTGCACAGTAAGACAATATCGTCTGCATACTCAAGGTCGAGAAGTCTTTCTCCAGGCAACAGATCCACACCACCATTACCTACATTCATCAGAGCTGTTTCCAGAATGTCAACGATGGCAAAGTTGAAGAGGAATGGTGAGATTGGGCAACCCTGCCTAACCCTACTACTCCGATGGAACAACGGAGAAAGGTGGTTTTATGCCCTCACTCTGCCTGAGGTGTTTTTATATAGGGCATTTAGGATGTTAATAAACTTCTCAGGCACACCCTTCTTCAATAGACAATCCCAGAGAACAGTTCCGTCCAACGAATCGAAGGCAGCCCTGATGTCAAGAAACACTACGATTGTTGGCCTTTGATAAGTATGGCGGTGTTCTAACATTTGGCTGAGGGTGAAGATATGACCAATACATCCTCGACCAGAACGAAAACCAGCCTGCTCCTCGCGAGTCAATCTTTCTCGGGTTTTGAACAACCTACGAAGTATGACGGAAGCCAATAGCTTGGACGCAATCGGAAGTAAACTTATCCCCCGATAGTTGTTACAAGAACGACGCGAACCCTTTTTAAAGATAGGGACAACTATCGACTCATTCCATGACGTTGGTACACTCTCTAGTTCCCAAACCTTTGTAAACAACGTCGTCAATTCCTTAGTCAAAAAGTCACCACCATCTTTAAAAAGAGCCGGAGGTAAGTCATCTGGGCCAGGTGATTTGTAACGCTTCAAGAGTTGGAGTTCCTTGCGGACTTCCTCCTCGTTTGGTGGATCAGTCGTCACCGGCCATGGAGGGCAGGACAGTCTGACCGATGTTGCCGGAGCAACAGACCAGTTGAACTGCCCTTCGAAAAATTCTGCCCATCGTCCAAGACGTCGATGGATGTTAGTGATTGGCATCCCATCATCCTCGCAGATTGTTTCACTCACACCAGACTTCTTGCTGCCAGTGGCTCGGATGAGCTGGAAGAGCTTTCGGTAGTTACCAGATGCAGTTGCTGCTTTCAGCTCATTAGCATGCTCCGACCACCAGGCTTCTCGGTCCTTACGCAAGCTTTGCCCAATTTCCTTACATAACATCCTTCGTTTATGGTCAAACTCACGGTCACCCGGAGTAGACCGACGGGCTTCAATGAGTTGTAAGGAACCAGAAGAAACCCAGTGCTTAAAAGCGGGACGTTTCGCAAACCCACAACTGACTGTTCCCGCCATTTTCATGGCGTCATGCAATTGCAACCAATGCTCATCTATACTTTTCGGTGGAGTGGTAGCTAGCCTAGAGGCTAGCTCGGTTCGATACTTATTTGCAACAGAAGTTGCAACCAGCTTGCTAATATCAATCCTTTGCTGGCGGTCACTTCGTTGGCCACTGAAAAGTAAGGCAAGATTGGCGCAGACCAAGGCATGGTCAGAGTCCAGATAGGTACTCCAAAAGGAGCGGCAGTCTTGTACATAACCACGCCAGCGGTAGCTGATCGCGATGTGATCAATCTGAGTCCAGGCTTGGGATGCAGAGGGAGGACGCCAGGTGGCACATCGGTGATGACTGTGCCGAAAGTTAGTGCTAGCCAGAAACAGGTTGTGGTCTGTGCACAGTTGCAGTAGACGGTCCCCGTTATCTGTCCTGCAACCAACAAGTCCCAATCGGCCACCTAAACGACTCTCTTTTGTGCCTAGATGCCCGACCTGAGCATTCAAGTCTCCGGCTAGTACCACAATATCTGTCGAACGCACTTTCTGGAGAAGAACAGATAACTGGTGGTAAAACTCATCCTTGATTGCATCCGGGCTGCAATCTGTCGGGGCATAGGCGGAGATGACGAAAAAACATCGTTTCTCGCGCCGATTTCTTCTCACTTTGATAGAACTTTCTAATCTAACAGCACATAACCGACTGTTAATGGGGATCCAATCGACTAGTGCTGCCTCAGCTCGAGCGCTTAGTGCGACACCAACGCTAGCAAGACCAGACGAAGATGCCACAGGGTCCCCGGATATGCGCACGTAAAACAAGCTTTTTGAAGTGACAGATGTAGAGCGAATTTGTAGTACTTCGCCAGAGTCTTGAATACGGGTCTCGGATAGACAACAAACATCAATATTAAGACTTTCCAAAGACATAGCCAGCCCTATCTGTTGACCAACCTGCATAAGTGTGCGAACGTTGAAGGCAGCCAGTTTGAATGGCACACGTGGTTTCAGAAAAACTGCTTCAGTACTCATATTCGATGGTAGCATACAATTTTCAACCGGACAGTGACTCGAGAACGTTTAGATATAGTTGAATTTCCACCAAAGACGAGCCGCTGTATAAGTATAAAAGAGGGTGAATAATGTGGAAAATAATAATAATAATAATAATCATTACTATTATTGTCATTATTAATACTATTATTATTACTATTATTGTCATTCCCGTATTGCACTTATTTAATTCCGTTACTCATTAATGTCAGTTAAGTCGATGATTATATACGAGGATTGACGACATCTATATTTCGACGACAAGCAGCAAACAATCTACCTCGAGTCAGATCTCGAGCCACTAAAGAACTAATTAATACATCCCAGTCTCTAAGGTTTCCTTCCATTTTCGTTTAAACTAAAACCTGAAATAAGTAGGAAAGTATATATTCGCGAAACTATCGTAAGGGCTTGTATCGTCTAAATAAAGTATATGATTTAGTCGAATGTACTGAATATTATGACACTATATAAGTGTAAATCAGTTCAGTTTGTTGATAGAAAGAAACAAACAGGTCATATTTAAACTTGCAAAATTTAAAAAAGTAAAATATTTTGAGATAAAAGTAGATTTGTCATTTAAGACTGTTAGTCTAAAAACAGCGCGGAATATATGAACCAAAGAGTCAACAAATTCCCATATGACTTAAGGTTAATTAACACGCTAGTCTGATGAAATTCAGCTATAAACAACTTATTGTCACTCTGATCAGAATATTAAACTTGAATAAATGAAGTTTTTTAATGCTCAAAAAGTATCTGAGATGCTTTTTCAGTTTAGTTCTAATGGCATTCTCGACTGATTTATTTTGCTTGACTACAAATTTAGGTTTTATTTCAACACTACTGACAACATACTTTAACTGTGTTCAAATAAAAAATTTGACTTAATCTCTACCAGTTATTTCTAAGTAAAAATTCAAAGGTACATTCACTCAGTGAACACTAGAATTTCCTTTTTTTCTGTTGTTGCTTGACTGAAAATATTCACTCACCAGCTTTAGTGATTACACCATGAACATTTTTCCGAAATCCACAAACACCAGTATAATTACTAACCTCAATATCTAGGTACCACTAATATGAGTTCAGATATCATCAAAATTTTCAAAAATAA